TCTAAAAAAAATAATAATAATCAAAACTTGTGAAAAAAAGTGTTTTCTTCTAGTTTTTTTCCTCATTTTTTTTATTTTATTCAAACTAAGTGAGGGGTTAGGTACACATATGTGATATAATTATATAGCCCTATCTGTCCTCTAAAAAACTATATATAATATGTGTGGGTACATTTAGTAAGAAAGTATATTACTGCTGTGGAAGAATCACACAGCAAAAATGTAAAAAATGTGTCAGTCATTTATGAACAGAAACTGAAAACTAGCTCAGTCATGAAGGGGTTAAAAACAAAAAAAAGGCTGCAGCCTCCCCAGCAACAGCATACACAAGCTGATCTTATTTTCCCCAGCCTGCATAAACCAACCCTCCCTTTTCTGTGTAGGAGGAAGTGAGATCACTGTAATGTCATGTTCTTATTGCTTAGTGAATTAAATACCCTGGAAGAAGAATGTAAATGTAAAACCAAACCATTCCCCACTATGCTTTGAGAGTTATAAATAGCCAGGGAGCACACTTATGTGATTTGGTAGTTCTGCTCCTTCTCCTCTCTTTTGTATCATTGTCCTATCTATAAACTATGCATTACTTTTATTCTCTCTATAAGATGCAGTGCATCATATATTAACCAATATGACTCATATTTATATAATGTACACATTGCCGTATACCTCTGCAATGCAGGCAGTACTTCATACTTCTCTAATATTGGACATGTAGTGCCTCATACCTCTCTATTACATATAGTGTCTCCACTTTATTGAGCACAATACCTAATACAGCCCTTCTGCAGATGGTGTCTCATGCCACTGTTGCCTGCAGAGCCTCATACCACTATTTACTTCCTCTGTGGCATGACTGTTTCTGTTTCCCTGTCGGTGTTCCTGACCTGTTTGGCATGTCTTGTTTTGCATGTTACCCCTGTAGAATCATATGTTTGGTTACATTTTTGTCTCAGCTGTCACTTCACTGTCCACCCTGTCTCATCAAGGCACACATGGTAAGGTGTGCATCGGACGTCAGTCATAGTTTTCCAGTTTGTTTTCCTGTATTATCCTGTTGTTTGTTGTTAGGTTGACGTGCGCTCCAGCTCCCCAGTAAACCCTTTTATGTCCCTAATGCATTTTAGATGGCTTTTTTGTTCTCACTTTCTACCCCAGTGATAGCCAGCTTTTATTTGGCTTGTACTCCATGTACAGTATATTCTGTTTAAACTGTATTTCCACTTTGCAGTCAAATTTGAGAAAACCTCTATATATACTGTATGTGTTATGTTTTGTGATCCTATTCACACAGGATAAAGAAAAACTATTTAAAAAAAATATTTCTTACTTTCGAGATGTTTTATTAAAGCAGGCAAGATGGCTAATTCCACGTTTTTCTCACTGCCTTCACGGTGATCTGTCCTAATGGAAAGGCTTAGGACTGAAATTTGAGAATTGTGTTTCTCTCATTCACTTAATTAACATACAATGGACAAACCACCTCAGATCCCTCACAGCCTCTACTAGCCTTGCAAAGAAAGATAAGCAAGTAGAAATGCTAACCCTCAAAACCCTAACCCAAGTAAAAGCAGTTTAAACTGCAAGAAAAAATTTTAAGATATTTTTTTAGCTTATGCTATGTAATTGGGAACATATAACAAGTATAACATATTGTAGGTGTTATCCCAATGTGGCTGCAAAATTCGAAATACACGTTAAGCCTTTAAGTCTCTTCACTGGTACATGCTAGAACAGTCTCTCAAGGTATTTGCCCTTGAGATCTAGGGGAAACCCTCAAATAATTTTTTGGTCAACAGCTCCGAAAATACACCTCTTCTCAAAAGGACAAATTGGACCATGAGCCATGTCTGTAAAACACACAGAAGCTAATTAAATGTAAAATAGAACGGCATTCTACTGTAAAAATCTGAATAACACAATCATAATAAAACACTAACTTTGCACTGCTACTTTTTAGTTTGAATTCCACAGAAAACGTAAATTTTTCAGGATACTGCTTAGGCACAATTAACATTTCTCAATATTCGCTATAACATAGGGCAACTTTCTTTTTTTAATTTCAGGTCCACTGTAAGCAGTGGCTGAGCTAAGGAACAAAGGTAATGTATAGAGAGAGGGGGGGCAATGTATAGAGAGAGGGGGGAGAGGGGGCGATGTATATAGAGAGGGGGAGGGGAGGCAATGTCCTAGAGTTTGGTACCCTTGCCTGCTACATTAGATCAAGAAGACACATACATGCATGTATTCGTTTTACACAGGATGTTTACTTTTAGTCTGAGGATTGCAAGGACTAGGGGTTAGTCTAGACTCGTATGTGTAGTGGGCCTGGATATGAATGGAACAGTTACTTTGCATTTGAAATGTCCAATACTCACCTGCTATTAAAACGATGGAGTGAATGAAAGGAGCTGCAATGTGAAAGAAAAGCCTACAATAAGAGAACAGTAACCACCTAGCTCTGCATATGAAGACAGCGGAGGAAATGGTTCAGCAGCCAAGGTTTACTGATCACCACAGGAGGGCTTTCATGACCAGATAGCAATAACAACTGAAATGAGCTTCATTCCTGAACCGGCCAATCTGTATGGAACTCACACTGATCTCAATTAGAGAGAAGACCTTGTCTTTAACTGGAAATGTTATTGTCTGAAATAGTCTTTATTGTCAAAACAATCAAGGAATAGTTGTACAGCTATAATACCGTAATTATTTAATATAAACTATAATATGAAGAAAAAAAATAATCCCAATGGGGATCATTCTGTCTAATCGCTAGAAGTATTAAAGCAATTGTTTTAAATAGTGTGGGGAAGGGAAATCTCTTTTGACAGATACTTATTGCAATCTCTGCGCCAATTGGGGAGATTTCCCCTGACATTCTGCCTGAGTGACAGAGAGTCAGATGGGCAATAAGAGATGGGAAAATACTCAAATTGCGACAGAGATAGGAGCAAAAAGAGATAATTTTTAGAAAAGTGGAGAGATATTATACGCTTGGTCAAGAGTGTCACTGAAATGCACAATGAAGGCATATACCCAGGGGTGTATTTGCAGGCAAGAAATGCTGCCCCCAAATCACAGAGGCAAGCCGGGTGTACAGAATCAGACAGCCTCGGCTGCCTAATCAGGTGGCTACTGGTGGGGCCAGGCAGCGAGCTGCCGGGTGAAAGAGGAGGCAGGGCCGGGGCCAAGGGAGGTTCAGCCCAGATGGCGGAAGCTGTGGATGGCTTGAGGCAGAAGGAAGAAGCTTTGGGTGGCTCCAGACTGGAAGAGGCTGCTGGTGGCTCGAGGCTGGAGGAAGAAGCTTCAGGCAGCTCCAGGCTGGAAGAAGAAGCTGCGGGCGGCTCCAGGCTGGAGGAAGACGCTGCAGGCGGCTCCAGGCTGGAGTAAGAGGTGGCATGTCCTGGAGGCAGGCTAGGGAGCTGCAGGGAAGAGGAGCAACACATGTGCAGGGAAAGGGACCCTGCACAGCCCATCATAGATCCTGCACAGCCCACCTGAGAGTTTCTGTGCAGGGTCTATGGTGGGCTCTGTGGGGTCTATGGTGGGCTCTGCTGGGTCTATGGTGGGCTCTGCGAGGGTCTATGGTGGGCACTGCGGGGTCTAAGGTGGGCGCTGCAAGGACTCAGGTGGGCTGTGGTGCAAGGTCTATGGTGGGTTGTGCAGGGTTTATGGTGGTCGCAGCCTGAGAACCTGCAGAGCCCACCAGAGATCCTTTACAGCCCAACTGAGACCCCGGCTTCCCTACTACGCTAACAAATGACAATATTCATGTTTACTTTCCTTTTTAAATCCTGCTTGTAAGCTCAATTAGCTTATCAGCACAGTACCTATAATGCTAAAAAGATAACGTGTGCAAACTTGTACAGGTTCCTTTTCCTTGTCACACAGATTGTACAACATAAGTTTATGCTGTGACAATGACCCTTCAAAATATATTGCTGAAAACAAAACAGCTCTGACTGCATTTAAAGGACTTCACTTTTACAGAGAAAATTGCATCACTGCACAAATTAAAGAGAAGGGGAAATCTATACCAGAGTAGACCTAAAGGAGGGAAAACATTTTTTTTTTTCTTTTTGATTGGTATATGTTAAAAATAGAGAATAGAACCACCAAATAATAGGGTACTGAGAAGTAAAGCAGACAATATATTTATTCTTCAGGGGAATAATTTAAAACACAGGATTTTAATATTTTATTTTATTGAGAATAGTGAAGCATACAAAACAAGCTATAAAGCATGCGAACAGGAATTAAAATGACTAAATACATATTTTTTAAAACACAAAAAATAGAATAGTAATCTGAACAGGTGCAGCAAACTAACGAGCAACAGCACAGATCTGGTAAGGGTGAGGCTGCAGGGTGAGGTTGTAGATATATTTTGTGTTTACCTTAGCTACCCCATTTGGGAGATGAAATTCAAATGATTGCAACAGAGTGGTGAAGAAGATAAATAGCTCGTATCGGGCAAGTTGCTCCCCAAGACATGCCCGGGCACCTACAAGCAGAGAACAAGGATGTGTATTAGACAAAACCTTAAAAATACAAGCCAAATTGTATAATCTATGCCCACATAAATCATGTAAAACATTTAATGTGTTACACAGTTACATAGTATTTGAGGTTGAATAAAGACATATGTCCATCAAGTCCAACCTGTTGTGTGTGTGTGTGTATGGGTCCCTGTGTCATCTCGTTATTAGGAGTACCTGTACCCCTGTATATAACCGTTTCTCAGGAAATCGTCCAAAAGCTTCTTGAATGATTCCAGACTATTAGCTGAAATCACTGCTTGTGGCAGTGAGTTCCAGACCCTAACCACGCGAACTGAGAAGAAGCCCCTTCGCCCCTTGTGTTTGAATTTTTTCTCTACCAGTTTCAGGTGGTGTCCTCTAGTCTTTGTTACGGAATGTATCTAATTTCATGTGCATGAAATTTCATGTGCATGAAATTTCATGTGCATGAAAACAATAAGTGATCATTGTCAGGGTGACCTTACACTATGTACAATCTTACACCAAATGGGTTTAGTATGTGGGCTTACATTAACAGCCCATTCAATTTGTGTTCAAGTAGGCAGGCCCTTGCATTTCATACATGTTGGCATGTTGTAGTCCAAATCAGGAGAGCAACCTAGTGACAACCATGGACTCCTTCATAGATACAGTACAGTGTGTTATTTACAGGATTGGCAGGTAAAAAAAAAAAGGCAGAAAACTAAATCCAATGCAGCCACCTCATCTTAGGGCTGGTAAACTGCAATATATTCCAATGGTTAGAGTGGTTTAGATATGCTTTAGGTTAATTGGTATTTTTGTTGATCGTTGTAAAAAAATGTTTTTTAAAACAAATCCACATTCATTGTTCTATGACAGGGGTAGCCAAACTCTGGCCCTCCAGCTGTGGTGCAACTACAAATCCCATGAGGCATTGCGAGATTCTCACAGCCACAGAAATGACTCCCGGGAGAGAGATGCATCATGGGATTTGTAGTTTCACCACAGCTGAAGGGCCGGAGTTTGGCTACCCCTGTTCTATGACATTAAAAGATGAAAACTTCTGAAGGAGTAAATCATTTTTGTGGGAACTCTTTAGGTTACAGTCATTGATTCATTAAAAGCAGGTTCATAGCAAAAAGCAACACAAAGACAAAAAAAAACATTCACAAAAAAGGAAAAATAAATAGTAATTTAGCAAAGTACAGAAATGACACAATATTCAACGTGTCCTAGATTTCATTTTAAATATCCTCCTGTTACAAATGTATTATTGGCATCATATAAAAAGGGTAGGAAAAAGATCTAAAATCCTTATAAGAATAATACCCAAACAGGTTAATATCTTAGAAAGAGCTGTGAAATCGTCCTCCTAAATTATAATTACCATCATACTATGTAAATGTTTGGTGTAAAAAAAAAACACAAAAAAACCTCAAGAATTCTTTACTATGCTTGTTCTAAGTGGACTTGTATCCTACAGCACCATTAAATCAAATTGGTTGTAATTACCTCCAGAGAAAGGTAAAAATGCTTCATTTGCTAAAAAATTCCCTTTTTCATCCAAAAAGTTATTGGGGTTGAATTGATCAGGTGTCTTCCAGCACTGGGGATCAAAGAGCACAGAGTCCAAATTGGCCAGCACCATTGTATCCTGACATAGTAAAACACAAGGAACAATGTATTTCAGCATAAAGTACAAAATGTTGTATATTTAATAAACAAAAATAGTTTGTAGTTAATCTTAGCAGCTAATCAGAAATAAGCTTCGACTCATTGGTTTGCACTAAACTTTGTGTGATACACTATATTGCCAAAAGTATTGGGACACCCCTCCAAATCATTGGATTCAGGTGTTCCGTGAAATTTCCTTGCTACTAAATATTCCACGGTCACCTGTTAGTGGTATTATAACAAAGTGGAAGCAACTGGGAACAACAGCAACTCAGCCACGAAGTGGTAGGCCACGTAAAATGGCAGAGTGGGGTCAGCGCATGCTGAAGCGCACAGTGCGCAGAAGTCACCAACTGTCTGCAGAATCAATAGCTACAGACCTCCAAACTTCGTGTGGCCTTCAGATTGGCACAACAACAGTGCATAGAGAGCTTCATGGAATGGGTTTCCATGGCCGAGCAGCTGCATCCAAGCCTTACATCACCAAGTGCAATGCAAAGCGTCGGATGCAGGGGTGTAAAGCACACCGCCACTGGACGTGTTCTCTGGAGGGACCAATCACACTTCTCTGTCTGGCAATCCGATGGAAGTGTCTGGGTTTGGCGGTTGCCAAGAGAACGGTACTTGCCTGACTGCATTGTGTCAAGTGAAAAGTTTGGTGGAGGGGGGATTATGGTGTGGGGTTGTTTTTCAGGGGTTGGGCTTGGCCCCTTAGTTCCAGTGAAGGGAACTCTTAAGGCATCAGCATACCAAGACATTTTGGACAATTCCATGCTCCCAACTTTGTGGGAACAGTTTGGGGATGGCCCCTTCGTGTTCCAACATGACTTCGCACCAGTGCACAAAGAAAGGTCCATAAAGACATGGATGAGCGAGTTTGGGGTGGAGGAACTTGACTGGCCTGCATAGTCCAGACCTCAACCCGATAGAACACCTTTGGGATGAATTCGAGCGTAGACTGCGAGCCAGGCCTTCTCATCCAACATCAGTACCTGACCTCACAAATGCCCTTCTGGAAGAATGGTCAAACATTCCCATATACTTACTCCTAAACCTTGTGGGCAGCCTTCCCAGAAGAGTTGAAGCTATTATTGCTGCAAAGGGTGGGCCAACTCAATATTGAACCCTACGGACTAAGACTGGGATGCCATTAAAGTTCATGTGCGTGTAAAGGCAGGCGTCCTAATACTTTTGGCAATATAGTGCATGTTACCAGTGATAAGAAAGTCAATTTACAAACTAGACAGGTTACAGATGTTTTTATTTGCCAGAATATATACATGCAGATTTGTCTTTTCAAATCATACAGATTTAACAGAGACTTTTGTGCATATATTTGTGTGCAAATAATCAGGTAATCCACCTCTACTAGTGAAGAGGGTGCTGCCTAGGTCATCAGGCAATGGACACATTCAAGCATAGAAATATACTGTATGTTTTAAATTTTATTTAAAAAAAGGATTACATACAAATATAAAAAAATTAAAAATACTAAAAAACTAGTATATGTACAAAAAAGATAAACTAAAATGGCCCAAAAACACCCGTTTATAATAGGCTAAATATAGTTCACTGTTAAATGCTTTTTTACATGTACGCAATGACCTAGTGACCTTTTTAAAAACTTTTCTGTGTCTGCATAGATCATTAGATCTTTATAAAACCCTCGTGTGTTTTTGCATACATCTACTGCTAGCAAGCAGTAGATATATGCAAAAACATATTTAAATATCCAACCTTTTAAAAAGGGTTAATACTTACCTGTGTCTTCGCGGTGTGCTCCCGTCCGAACATCTGAAGAGTCTTGGACGGCCGCAAAGGATCTTGGGACGGGCGCATGCGCACTTCAGATGTTTGGCCGGTAGAAGTGGAAAGACACAAGGTAAGTCTATGGAGCAGAGTGCACCCGCACAGACACCATGGGACATGAGAGAAGAGGAGGACAGAGGAGTCAACGCTGGATCGGAGACCCGCACCAGCACTGGAGGGACATCTGAAGAGGACAGTAAAGAAGAAGATGATTGGATTAAGAGGCATAATTTAAGGTAAGTCCCTACAGCAGGATTGGGAAGGGGGGAAAAAAGTTATGTCACTTTAAAAATGTATGTTCTCAAGTCTATTGAAGGGCTGCATTTCAATCAGCATTTCCGCTATACCCCATCTAGGCTGTAGGAAGCAAGGTCTTCTGGCCTTCTGGCACCTATGCCACTTATGGCAAGGGTATCAAGGGGCACCCCTTCCCCCGCCCTCAGCTTTTTTTATTCACCACAACAAAAACATATAAACATAATTTTTTTAAATTGTACGTGCAAATTAAGAAAAAAAAGCTAAGGAAGAAAAGAAAAAATTAAAGAAGTTAATACTTTTTTTTTTCTAAATTCGTCACTTCAAAATGAATGAATGCAAATGTAACAGTCTACATACAAACAATAAAAAAAGTAAAAGTAATATCATCAACATACTACTGTCACACAAAGTTGTGAATGAAAGCTACAGCAGTTCAGCCCTGTAGATTACACAGGGAGAGCGTCTCTACCTGTGTAATCATTGAATATCTGTGACAGCTGTTCTCTCTGCTCCCTTAGACTAAAGGAGCCCATACACCTAAAGGTGCCCACACACCTTACGATAATCGTACGATATTCGTGGGAAATCCCGTGATCGTACGATTATCGTAAGGTGTGTGGGAGCCGTGTGACCTCTGCTACTGTAACGTCGCACAACTTTTATCTTAGGAACATGTTCGAAAACCAGCCGAACATCGTACGATGTTCGACTTGTTTGTGGCATGTTCGCAAGATAAAAGCCACACGGGCCGGTGTGCGCAAGCGCACACTGCCCGTTCAGCATTGCGGTCATCGGAAGCCCGCCCCTCAACAGGGTGGGCTTGCGTTCATCGCAAGTACAATCTGCCTGTCCAAAGATAGGCAGATCGTAAATTTTTTTAATTACCTTACAACCATCGAAAGACAAAAGTCTTGCAATGGTTGTAAGGTGTGTGCCCAGCATTACAATTATCTGCAGATTTTCTGTGGTCAGATGGAAAAAGTGCAACAGATTGGCCCAGGTGGAGATTACTCCATCCACACAGTTTAGCGTGGATGGAGGAATCTGTTGCACCTTTTCCATCTGACCACAGAAAATATGCAATACGTGGGAAGGACCACAAGGGAACTAAAAAAGAGATTAGAGGAACACATTAATAACATCATAAAAGGTTTTACTAAACACAGTCTGTCCAGACATTATAAAATATTTCAAAATCAAAAACCACTGGAGGGGATCAAACCTCACGAGAGAGGTCTCAAAGAATGAATCAAAGTGGATCTTTCTTTTGGAGACCCTGGCCCCTAGGGGGGTTAAATATAGACTTTGACCTCAATTGCTTTTTATATAATGATTAAAATATTAACAACAGAGTATTTGATTCCTAAATTTTAAATTTTAGAACTAATCTTGAATGATTAAAATATTAATTATTATCTAATTATTCTTCACCACTACCAATGGACTGAGTCCAGAATCAGTAAATAACCTTATTTCAGACACTAATTTTATGATTGCCTAAGGAGCATGTTAATTAATTTTTATATTAATTATTATCTAATTATGTTTCACCACTATTAGTGGATTGAGTCCAGAATCAGTAAATAACCTTACTTAGATACTAGTTTTTATGATTACATATGGAGCATGTATATTAGAACAACAATTTTAACTAAGTTAAATTAATTAGAAATGTACATCAACATTTTTTTTTTTAAATTGTTTGTTTAGATATATAACACACTCTTTGTGCAAAAAAAATAGTTTATTTAGATATATAATACACTTTTTGTTTCACATGGGAACGATATAATGTTTAATTATTTAATTATGAGTTTTTTGTATAATATCTTCGTTCTAAAGGAGGTTTCTTAGAATTAATTTTTTTTTTGCGAACTAATTTAATGATTGTATAATTCTTAATGAACTAAATTATGAATTTTTCGTTTGTAAGGAGGTTGTTTTAGAACTAATGCATTTCTAACAAACTAATTTAATGATTGTGTAATTCGTAATTGATAAAGGTATATTAAAGCGTGGGTGGGGAATGAGGGAAGATCTGTTTGCCTTCAGAAGACGTCAGGTGACGAAACGCATCACCGGGCAGATCTTTCCAATACGAGCTGTTCCTAGGAGCATTTTACTTTCTGTCCGGCCGGCCGAAATGTAAAATTCTATGTGAGCTGCTATTTTAAATCAATTTTGATTTTTTTCATACTGCACCATGAAGGTTGTTTTTCTCTTTTAAAATCCCATTTCACCACCCTCGGGATTGGGAGTAAAAACATCAGTTACCCGTGGATAAGAGACGGGTATCAGGGACCGTTGCGGTGCTGCCAGCGAGAGACACCTGCCGGTATCTGCTCTACTGCCGGGAGAACTCTGAGCGCATCCACGGAAGAACCAGGGAATCAGATCTATACCTCTGTGAGGGGCTTAATTTCATACACCATCTGGTGAATCACTCGGGGGGCTGCAGATTGGGCGAAGAAGAGTCGATGATTTATTCGTTTGTTTGACGGTTTTTTCATTATTTAAACATCATCTGTTTTTTACATTGACATTTTTTCATTTATATTTTATTCACAAATATTTTTTTCACTTGTGGCACTGATCATTTAGGTTACCAGAATAGGTTGTGTTAGTAGTTTAACACCTGAGTTGCTAGAATTTATAGTTTTTTTCAATATCACCACATTTTATGAGATTTTGTCACAATTTATCACATGAGAAACTATTCTGCTACTATTGAATCGATTAATGTCCTATTGAATCAATTCATTTCAGTAGGTTGTATTAGTCAACACCATTGTATTAGTCAACCATTATTTATGGTTCATTCCTTTGATCCTCTTTATGGGATTGAGCTGTGATCATAACTTTAACACGGGTATTTTTGATTTATTTTAGTTTTAATTTAGCACCTTTAGCGCTGTGTTAATAATTTTAAGTTAGTGGAGGGGCGTGGCTTGCTCATGGCCGTGGACGGACGCATGTAAAGTGTGCTCCGGCTATCCACCCGGGAACGACCGCCAAGAACGCAGCCCTACTCCTTCTCTACACCTGGCATGGGCCGATCGGGCAAGAAGGGAGGTCGGCAGACTGCCAGGTCCTCTGCCCCGGCCATCGGGCCGAAGATCGGATCTTTTTTCAAGAATTCGGGCCTACTCGCGACCCAATCTCCGTCGGACCGCGGTATGGGTGACGCGGCCGGCTCTACGGCTTCCTCGCCGAGACAGCCTCAATGCCAGGGAGACTCGGATTCCTCTGTGACTGGAGATGACGGAGCTTCGGTTCGGGGTGAGGACACATTCCAGCGCTATTTCACGCTCCTGCCCACAAAAACGGAGCTGGAGGGCCTATTCTCCCGCCTGGGGGCATCTCATAGCCGGGACATGGCGTCTCTCAGGGAGGGCATGGCTGATTTTGGGCAGCGGTTGGAAGTGGTGGAGACGCAGGCTGCAGCTGTCTCCCACTCCGTCCAGCAACTACAGGCAGAAGTGAGCAGCCATCATCTCCTTCTTCAACACCTGAGCCTGCAGCTAGATGATCAGGAAGACCGACATCGCCGCAACAATATCAGGCCGCGCTGCATCCCTGAGGCCACAGGTACGTCAGACCTTAAAGCAATGGTCCAGGGAGTCTTTAACATGCTGCTGGGCAATTCCCCTACCCATTCTATAGAACTGGACAGGGTGCATAGGGTGCCGGGATTCCGCAATCCTGCTCAGCAACACCCCAGGGATGTCTTGTGCAGAGTGCACTTTTTTCAACAAAAGGAGGCCATTCTGCTGAAGGCCCGGGAGGGTGGGCCGCTGGACTTTGACGGGGCTCAGATTACGCTTTTTCCGGATTTGTCCTGTAACACGCTGTCCAGACGCAGGGCCCTCCGGCCAGTGACATAGATGCTGCAGGAACGGGACATCGCTTACCGCTGGGGTTATACCTTTCATTTAATAGCACGCCAGAACGACAAGTCGCACATCCTACGCACGCCAAGTGATCTCCCAGACTTCCTTCGGGCTCTACAACTCCCATCTGTGACCCTGGAGGGATGGCCTGATCCAGCCCTGCCTGCTTGGGCCCCTGTGCCCTCCGAGTCCACGTGGATTCCAGCCCAGTCCCAGAGGAAACGCCGCTGCAGACGACAGGAGGCCGCATCCACCCCTACCCTCCCACCCTGAACGGACAGGCTTGAGGGGAAGTGGATGTACTCCCTTACAGTCCTCTTCTCCGATGTCCCCTTTGTTCTACAGCGGAAGTTTTCTCCTTGACCTGGAAGCTGCTGGTTCCTGTTATTCCCTCTCCCACTCCTGCTCCGGGATCCTGTGACCCTTAGACTGGCGCTTGTACCGCAGGATCCCCCGAAACCCCTCCCCCCTCCCACACACCTTCCCTTTTGGTCTCTAGAGATGCCCAGGACTGCTTCGCCCCGGTGCTGCTTGACCCAATACCTCGTTCTTAATGTTTGCCGGGTGGAAGTCCATGGTCGCCTGTTAACGCTGACCTCTGTATTTCCATGTTTATTTGTGCATTTCAGTTGGGGTTGGTGGGTGGTGACGGGGGGCTCATACGGCCAAGGGTCATGTTGTCTGGAGGCGGGGCATGGGAGCCCTGACCTGAGCCGGACGCAATCTGCACAGTGGGCCTTGATCCCTAGTGTCCTCTGTCATGTAGGCGGGGTGATATTGGGGTCATTGGTTTTCTGGTTGTTTTTTCTTATATGCCACATGCTTATATTCCTTTCAGTCCCCAATGCCATCTCAGATGTGTACAGTTTATATCTATATCTGCATTATACGTGCTGTGGCAAGATCTCCACCATTCCTAGGCTGGAGGGGGATGCAGAGGCGATATGAAGGATGGTCATCTATGCCCTCACCTGGGTTGAAAGGCTACTTCCCCCGCTCTCCGGCTTACACTTGTGTCCTTCTGGTGTCTGCTTGTCTAGTCTGGTTGTGAGTCTATTGTTATGTTGTTTTTTGTAAGGTGGCTCTAGGTGAAGTAACCTACCTGGAGGTTAATGGAACATGACTTTCGCATGATTTCTGGTTATCGCCTGATGCTACAGTCCCAGGTCCTCGCCCAACTCCATAACGAGGCTCCCCCCACTGGGGTGGACTTTAGCCGTTTGCGGCCCTCAGGGCAGGGTCGGGAACTTTTGGGCGAAGGTATGGCTAGGACTCGGGCACATTAACACATATACTGTAGATACGGTTGTTATTATTTACGGTAATCCTATTATCCTCAAAGATACACATTTGACGCTGCCTTTGTCTGTTGTTACAATCTCTTGTATGTCTGAAAATTTTCAATAAACTATATTTCTGAAAAAAAAATAATAATTGTAAGTTAGTGAAAATGGCCACTGTGAAAAAAATAGGCAGGAAAAGAAAAATAAGGTATGCAAAAAATAAAAAGCCTGCAATTATCCTTAAGTATCTGTTTGTAGATTGTCATTACTAAATATTTCTAAAGGGACCTTTGTTGTTACTTTGAAGATATGGATAAAGTTCCTATTTCACTCTGATCAGAATAAATATGTTCTCACCTTCTTCAGAGAGTATGTATAGACATTAACTTCTTTAACACATGTCCGTGGAATGCCTACAGCTGCAATGTTGGCATACCGCTGGATCTCATGGATTACAGCATTGGTGTATGGAAGCCTCTTGCGGTCTTCATAGCAAACTAGTTTGGATCCATCTAGAACAGCATCGAGTTCTTCATGTACTTTCTCTGTAACACAAGACAGTCAAATAGGGATATGTTTTAAAAGTGATCAACCTGTGCTATATTCTCCATTGCTTGGCAGGTCAAATAGTTTACTTGTATGTATTTCAATTGCATATTTGGCTGTTTGCATGGTGTCTTACTTTTATTGTACAATATTATTTTGTTTATGAAAACTCTGGATATACCTGCCACCACCAGACTTTCAGAGTATGCAAACCATAATGCTTTTGCTATTATTAGCAGTAATTTCTATTATGACCAATAATAACATATCAAGAATAGTCGCAATACCTTGTGTTAAAACTGTAGATACAATCATACCCAGCACTATGCTCCAGACTGTCACCTCACTGCTAGGCTGGACAATTCATGGATACAATGGGGAAAACCCAGGAGACTAAAGGCCTCAAGCATGCAGCCTCTAGTTTGCAAATTTAGCAACCCAATATACAATAGATGATGGGTAAGAAGCAGTTTAAGGTACAGTTCACCTGTGCATGACTTCTTACAACTACCGTAGGAACAAATCTATTATGTGGCTACACCCTGTTTTACTTACGTTGTATATGGGGAAAAGCCACCATGTAAAGCAGAGCCCATTGCAGGGTGGTGGCTGTAGTTTCTGTCCCAGCACCAAAAAGATCTGTGACCATTGAAATCAGGTTTTGTTCATCAAACGTAGAGTCTGCCTCTGCTTTGCTCTATGAATTTCAGGAAATCAGAAGTTAATATTACAATGACAAAGTAAACATAGGGTATTATATGTTGGATGGATATACTGTTCAGCATATGTTGTATTTGTATGTATGTTGTATATGTATTATACAGCTTAACACAAGACACAATTGTGTTGTTTAGTTGTGGATAGTATTTGTGGAAAGAATCAAGCCTCTGCCAACTGTTTATTGGTATTTGTGTATCCCTTTGAGATACAACCTCTCTCTTTTTCTACATTTCCTGAATGTCAGACAGAACAAGAAGTGAGGGTAAAACTCCCCATTTTCTGTTTATTTAACATGTTTTAGGCAGAACAGGAAGTGATACACAGCTAGCATAAAAAATAGTTTTTTTTAGTACGTTTAGGAAGGTTTTGAATCTTTGTCAAGATGTTATCGATATCTGGGTTCCCAAGAAGGGAGATTTTGCCTCCTTTCCTGTCTAGGTGACAGGTTTATATCTAGAACTGGAAGTAAGGTGATTTCTTCAGTGGGGGCACAGCTTTAAACCCCATGGGGAGACATACAGAAATAGCAAACTAATGCTTTCCCACTCCATATCCAAAACCAGCAAAAAACATTCTGGATAGAGTTTCGTTGTAAGGAGGAACTGAACTCTGGAAGCTGTATACAAAAAAAGCCAGCAGGGGACAAAGTACCAGCCACCGTAATTACATAATTAATGTGGTCTACCTGTACCTGATCTTTTCATCACTGTTGACCATTCCTTGTTCTTTACTGTGTCTCTATGTGGCGGCAACCATCTTGGTAGAGGCAGGGCTTTGTTTCCTTATGGCAGAGTCTCCAGGAAGGAGGACAGTGAGCCAAATAATAGTGATGTGACCAAATCTTACTACAAATTTCATGAGATTAGCATTCAGAGGCTGCAGTGTTTTAGATCTCACACTGCAAATACATGCCCAGTTGTATTCAAATACCAGGAAGTGCATTGCTACTTTTTAGGAGGAAAATGGAACTGCTAAGGAACATTTACATTTCTAGATGTTCTCTATAACGTGGCAAAACGTTCCATCTTTGCTTCAGGTCCACTGTAAGGTAACTGTGAATACTAGGTCATACTATTATATTTGAAGAAATTCACACTTTTTGAGCTCATGTATCTAATATTTCTGAAAAAATTTACCTTTTCAATCTGGGCCAGATAATAGTCAATGACATCTTGAGGTTCCTCAAGTGATCCACTTTCCTTATGGGTCCGGAGCTCCTTTGCTATAAACTGTCTCAAATATGCCATATTTGTAAATGCAGACTGGTGTGGACCTGGCAGATGTTTCATCGGCCATGGAAAAGCATCATAGACCTATGTGGAAAGGATACAGGTTGTTAGATACATCCACACAATCTCCCCAAATGATGGAACTAACACCAATGTCCAAATTGGATAAGTTTAAATTCTTCTGCTTTTTTTTATTGTACTGCGCACGTTTCCCACAACATACACCTTTTGCATACCTGTAGGTAGGTAGATAAGTTTTCTTTATACATAAAATTATTACATCATATTGCAAAGCACCTATACACATGCTCTTTAGGAAACATACACACGCATTTCAAGTATTCACAATGGGTAAAAATGCATGTACACATCATAGCAGTTCAAACTCTTGGTGACATCACAGAATTTAATAGTTATGATAAAATAACATTACCTTTGCCCATACCGAGCCAAGGGACTCAACAATACAATGATTGCATTTGATCAGTTCTTGATATATTACATCATCATTAGAGAAACGATGTCCAAAAACGACAGCAGATATTACATTTCCAACACAAGCAGTAATAATGTTGAAGGGGTCAAATGGAGCTCCTAGGAACAAAATTGTATAGAATAATTTACTTTTCACCCACATTAGAAGCTACACTTGGTGATATAACTATACATTTGTTCACCCCTATATATATATTATACAACAAATGTTACCACTACTTACTTTCTATCCACATTTGAGACAAGCAGTGTCGACTCTACAAGGCTCAACCTCTCTGCTATAGAGAATGGCATAAAGTAAAACTGTACACCATTTTAAAATGTTAAAAGTAAACTTGCTCCCTATAAGTGCAGACACCACAAGATACCCGCTGTCATTACTAGCCAGAAAAAAAAACCCTGTTCTGTGCCCCTCTCCTTTGGTAATGTAAGCAACAAACACTGGTTCACTGACCATTTTGGGCTCTAAAAGACTCTACCATGTACTGAGCTTCATCTTGTATCCGTGACTCTAGTCCACGCTTCCCAAGTCCCAAATTCCTCAGGGTCATCAGTCCAAAACGTCTCTGTTGTTTCCACACATGTCCATTGGACATCACAATGCCTACAAAATATGAAATAGAGTATACATTTCAAGACTCTATGTAATTTGTGACACAGATTATATATCCTAGGTTCTGTATTTCTCACATATTTCTAAAAAACATTGTTCTAGGGTCTAATAATGCTAATATTTCAGACGAGAAAGTAATATTTTTGTGCATACATAATGTGCATAATAATACTAATAATATTAACAACAACAAAGACGCATAGATGTAAATAGACAATTATAGTTCCCCTCTAAACTCTCATTAAACTGCAGTGTATAAATGGATACCAGCTACATGGGAAATTATGGGATTTCTACATGAAGTTGATTTTTATGCAGTAAAATTCATATGTCTTACTGCAGGAATACAGACAAGTGTGGATGGGCCCTAAAACTTGTCTTAATGAATTTGGTCACAGTTAAAATGGAACTCCATTCTAACAGTTAAATACACAACTGAAATAGATATCAAACATATAGGCAGGGCCAGGACCAGGGAAGGGGGGGTCAGGTGGGACTGCCCTGGGCATAGTGTCATAATGTGTGTGGGAGAAGGGGTGCTGCAGGGACAGCTGCAGGATCCAGCACCAGGCATTGCTCCACTAGACATCATGATGAGGCATTTGTCAGGAAGCCAGACCCAGAGGTCGTGCACAGTGGTTTGCACATGCACCTGGTTTTGCTCATAGAGCTTTGCCAGGTACTGCGTCTCTGCGTGGACGTTCATGTGGGTGCGCGCGCCCATGCACTGGGCACCCTTTGGGCTATTTAGGCTGCGATGTCCAGTCCTCCTGTGCTGTCTGATTGTCAGCTTACCCCTGTTCCTGAGTTCCTGCATCCTTAACTGTCTACCTGTTAGCGACCCGGCTTGTCTCGACCTCCCACTGCTCTTCTTTGTTCCTGAAACCCGGCTTGCTTCTGTCCACCGCTTCTGCCTTTAAGGTTTGTACCGTATTGCCTGCACGTTGCTGACCTCGGCCTGTTCGTGACTACGTTCCTGCTCTTGGTACCTCGCTGCCCACCTGTTAATGATTCGGCCTGTTAACGACTAGTCCTAAGGTGCTTCTCTTCTGAACCAGAACCTAGCCCGGGGTCTATATCGCAGTATTGTCATCATCCAGCACTTGTGCCCCTCTGCGCCCCTGTACTCAATCAAGGTGCTTTGGGACCAGAGTTGTAAGAGAGGCTGCCCTCATCACATCAGACTCCTCAAAGGTACATGGCAGTATTGTAGATCTGTCATCAGTATGTGTCAAGGGTTATATGCACTATTTTATCTTCCTAATCATGTAACTCACCACATGACAGGGGTGAGGAAGCAGTTTCACTTCCCAGTGGCGCTCATACTGATAGTTGGTCTGAATTAAATGGGGGAAGGTGGAATATCTGCTGCATTCAGCTGTCATTGTGCCCCCAGCCCCATGAGAGCCTCCACCCAGTTGCAGATTCCTAAATCTTTCACAGTGCCCCTCAACATCTCACATTGTCCCAAGTCCCCACAGTAATCCCCAACCACTCAGCTCTATGCAGTGTCCCTCAACCTCCCACAGCCCACCTCCACCCTGCTGCAAAGCCCCCCCATACCTTAACTTCCAACAGTGTCCCTCAGTGCCCCCCAACCTCCCACAGTACCTTTGAGTCTCCCAAACTGCCCCTGCAACGCCTCCAGCCCAGGGAATAGACCTCCGGCCCAGTCCAGAGTCACAGTTGCTTCAGCGCCCACAGAACCTTCATCTCCCTTGAGTCTGCCGCAGCATCTCCTAACTCGTTCCCCCATGCTGCAGACCTGTTATAAAGGGTTGCCTGTCCTTTTTGGATTGCTCTTATATATTTTATATCATGGAATATGCATCAGGTGGAGCTGAAACAAGCAAATATATACCCCTCATATACCTAAAATATCACTAAAATATTAGAGTGGACTGACCCTTTAAAACTGAACTTTGGGAATAGAAAATGGACTCCAAGATTACATACTTCAGATCAGTTATTTTCTGGATCTTAACTAGAATTACTGTTGTGTTCTTTCTATCTTGTGTTTTTTCAGGCTTTTCACATGCATTTTCCAGGGAAAGATGGTATACTCTAAAATTAAAATGCTAATGAAATGTGTGTTTTCAATATTTATGCAGGTCTTTTCATATCCATGGTAAATGCAATTTTGTCAAAGTTCAGCACAAATACTGATTTCTGGACCTAAAACCTATCTCCATTCAAAACATTGTTGTCTTTAATTTTGGATATACAGTGTAACTGCTTACAACTTTTTTTGTTCTCCTCCATACTTAGGTGATGTCTCCTTACCTCCTGTGTATTGCAAGAACTGAGGGAACATCTCCCTATTTCTGGTCTATTTGATGGATATCAGATTTAAGAAAGGAAGTAGTGGAGGAAGATTCCCCCAACAGGCACACAATGGGGGAAATGTTGTTTGTGTCCCCATGAGGGAAATTTCCCCTTCACTTCCTGTGAAGATGATGGGTATCAGACAGGACAAGAAGAGAAAATTAAGCACATCAATTGAGATACGGACAACATTTCAAATCTCACATACAATTTCCATCCACAGGTACACAAAGTAAACCTTCTCTATTCAACATTAGAAAAAAAGTTTTGACTGGAGCTTCCATTCAAGTAAGACACCCTTTTTTGCGTGCAGTTACACTATGCCAAATATGTGTGAACAGGGCCCAGAGTCTTAGAGGAATAAAAAAAACTGTACCTCCTCCACCCATAAGATCCATGAGAAAGCTGGCTACAGGGCGCCCAGACAGCTCCTCGGAATGAGAGACAATACCATCTTTCACAGCTCTCCATCCATTCAGGACCACAAGAGGAGAACCACCAAGCCACACAGTATAGATTCTGCCATGGAGCCTAGAGAACTATAGTTAAGGGGAGAGTCAATTTTAGGTTCCACAGATAATAATAAACTTATTTCTAATTCATTAAAACACAAAAATCAGTCATAAGTCAGATAGTGCGTGTCATTTTGAAATTAGACATAGTCTAGTACTTACACTGCATTGCATTAATGGAATGTGGTTGTAGTACTCTACTATATTGTTTTCTATAGCCACCAACCAGTCCTTGTTTCATGTTCAGACTCAGACTAGCAGAAATGACAGTTGGGAGCTTACTAATTACTTTGGGTAATTTTACTTATAGCATTGTTTTTAAATAACAGCCCTCGTGTGTAGTTGTTCCATGTCAAGTACAGGGGCTTCATGCATTAATTCCTGTGTAAATGTAATTGATTTAACATCAGTCTAGGATGAGATCATTTAGGTACATTTGACCTCCTTCCAACCTGCATTTGACCTGCTTCAAGAGGGTTTTTCATACCTAAAGACTTGCATGGGAAAAGCCATTATAACCATATATAATATGCATGTTTATAACAACTTACCTGACTGTTGCAGAGCTACATTAAGAGCTGGAGCTGGCACTTTATGGCACCGATACCTACTTGGTTGGATCGTGAACATTAATTGTGAATTTGTTCCCATACGGGATTTGATATTTCTACTGGTAAAGATCGGTGTGCACATTTATACATGCATGTCTATTCAGACTGTGCACATAATATGGCATCTATGGGACATCCTATTGCTACAGCATACTAGAAATTAACATTACAGGCAACCTGAAATGTCTGTATAGACATTTATTCATGCTCATCTATTGTTTACATTTAAATCTACTTGGTACCCAGTTTATATTAGCATTGGTTATACTGGATTATATTGTGGATAATTGGACGTACACGTGGCTCTGCATAGCCTTACTTGAGGGTTCCCCATTATGCTGCTTTGTATAGGGGTGTTTTTTAATTGGTTTTATGTGATGTATGTATTTGTTTCCTGTTTTGTTTTGTTTATGATTTTTTAAATCTACATTAAAGTTGATTGTTTTTTTACTTTGGTGTAGTTGATATTTGACTTTGTACTATATATTTAGCACTTTACTGTGAGGGGTCTGGATGTTTGTAACACCACATTTTAGAGGAGGTTCTCATTTATTTTTTCTTTCTCTAAGCTAGGAGATGGATATCTGCTAGAGACTGCTCTGTCCCTTGTGATCTTGTTTTGGACAGAAAGTTCAGGGAAGCCAAGCTGAGGGAGTTGAAGAAACATGATAACTGTCAGTGTTTGGGAAAAAATGTAAAGAAATATTTTGCTGGGCTATGCATGTTTATTTCATCTAGACTTATTATTAAAAAAAGTTTGAGTGTTTAATACTACTTTAAAGTCAGTAGTTTTAAAATAAAAAAATATTTAATGAAATTCTCTATTCCTTTGTGACTTGTAGCTGTGGAGCAGGGAATGCCCCTGTCACAGCTGATTGGCCTTAAAAGGGGGTGGTTCAGACAGTCACAGTTTTGCACAGGCTTGGGCAAAGTGGGTTTGCATCAGGCCCCGCACATCACTGGTAATGATGGCTAGTTGATCCTTAGTAAAAGGGGGCCCTGAGTGTTGTAAACATTGTAATTTAATGGGTGTGCAGGTTTCATGTGAATTTTAATGTTGTTTTTTTAAGGCTTGTAGCTGAAACTAGCCCATCCCTCCACCAACTAGGTCATCGGACTCAAGCCCACACCACACTTTACAACAATACAGACATGGTGGTAGATACAGACAAATGCATGAGTTTTATTGCATAAAAAAAATGGTCAAATGTGAATAGGCCCTGAATACTTTTGTAAGCATTTATAAAGCATCTGACAAGCTTCTAGGTGCTGTAGCCCTGGTGAAGTAAATACAGTTTATAGGAAAAGTGTCCGCTGTCACTTTACACAAGCTGTTGGAAGGCTTGGAGAAGTTTGCCAGCACATACATAAAGCTTTCTATTTTGTGTCCAACAGGGTTATTCATAAAAGGGTGAAGAGTTTGGAGAAGGTAGGAGAAGTGAACAATATAGGGCAACATAGCTGAACAGCTGAACTGGAAAGTGAGCTCAATTGGAGAATTTCTCCTAATCCGTTATGTTGTCCTAGATTGTTCCCTTCTCCTGCCTTCTCCAAACTCTTCACCCTTTAGTAAATAACCCTGTAAATGTGTATTTTAGAAGGCAAGGAAGAGGAACATAATAACACATAAAACATAATTTATATAATATAATACATGTGAATAATCCACACTACTTGCATTATGTGTAAGCTGTATTTTACTTAAAATATTACTTGATGTTTCAGAAATGATATACTCACTTGTGCTAGTGTCTCTGGATGAAGCTGGAATTTTAGCCCCCACAAATTCCCGATCAAAGGCAATGGAAATGGCCCAGGAGGGAGATTTCTCGAAGTCCATAGGACTTTCAAATAGTTGATCATCAACATAGAGACCAAGAATAGAAAAAATATTTCAGAGATAGTCCACATAGTCAGATCGATGCTTGCTACAGGATACAGTATGAAAGCTCAGTTAATCTACAAAAGAGCTGGCTTCTATTAGGTTACAGGTTATCCCACATTTTACACAACTGTTTTGTTAATATGTAACAGCTAGTTACCAATGTTACGTGACTACTTCCTTAAAAAAAAGTGTTTCCCAGACTGTCCTTAAAGGGTCAGTTTATTTTTGTGACTGTGTATCATGTTACATCCACATTCAGAGTATAATATAAAACATGGTCACATAAAGGTTTTTTTTTCTGAATTTATACATCTTTCCATACAGTCCCGTGATTTACATACTCTGACACACAGCACAGTTCTGTCTGGCAGGGGAGGAACCATGATTTATTTTTTCCGCAGCATTTAAGTAACACTTACAGGTCTTGTCCCTCCCCCCAGTTTTTGATTAGTGAAATGAGAGGCAGCAAACTGATACGCTCATCTCTCTGTTCTCTCTTCCTATTAGCATGTTCCCTGTTAGCACATGAGTGAGCAATGCAGAACAACCGTTTGGCTCTTATGCTTCCTCTCCCTCACCTAGTCTGGGGTACAGGGACTGCAAGAGGCCCATACCAAATCAAATGCAGGTACTTACACTGTTTGCATTTAAGAACAAAAAATGTCTTATTCACAGATTACAGGACACAGGCTCCATCAATTTTTAGACCATTGGGTAATGCAGCTGCCCTTAGGTGATTGGACACTGGCAAAACAAAGGGCTGTCCTATATTACCCCTCCCACTCCTAGTAAGCCTTATTTTTTTTAATAGTGTGCTTAGGTCAACAGACATCTTCTCTATGCTCTGCACCCAGGAGATATTTTGGCATCTGTGGAGTGTGGACCTATCTTGCTTTTTCTCCAGCACATCAACGCTATGTTTATTTTTCTGTAGGCAATCATCAATACCTATTTGTTGCCCTTCCCTTTGGCCTGTCCACTGCATCTTGGGTCTTCATTAACATGCTATCTGTTGCACGAACGGTTGGCTAAGGTTCTGTCTGCCAATGTCAACTGGAAAGTGCAGATAGACCCTACAGAAATTTGGATGGATCCTCAACCTTCTGAAGAAGGTGCTGGAGCCAACACATCACCTGGAATATTTGGGCCTAACTATGGATATGGCCCTATTCAGGGTCTTCCTTTCCCTGGACCAGCTGCAGTTTGTCCGCTACCATGCTCAGACCCTACAGTCCAGGAGCTGCCCAACCATTTGCTTTGGGCCTGATGCTTGCCTCTTTAGAGGCAGTAGCATACACACTATTGCACTCCAGACTGTTGCAACTCATCATTCTGGTGTGGGACAAGCAGGATCAGTCTCCTGATAGTCTCATATGCCTGTTCAGCAAGGCCAGACTTGCCCTGAAGTGGTGGGATTTGGGAAATCCTTTCTCCCGATGGTCTGGAAAGTGCTCACGATTAATGCCAGCCTGTCAGCTTGACAATTGTATTACTTCATTGTTGAACCCCTTGGCTGTTAGGCCACCCATCCAGGATTCAGTCAGACAATACCACGGCGGTGGCTCAAATATCAGGGGGGCACAGGAAATTACGCAGTTCAAAGAGATTCTGATTCTTGCCTGGGCAGAATTTCACATTCTTCCCCTGACCACTGTGCACATTCCGGCCATGGACAGACGTCCTCAGTTATCAATGTTTGAACTACGGAGAATGGTCCATCTACCCAAAGGTATTTTGGGGTTATCTGGTGTAGGCGGGAGACCTTAGACATAGGCCGCCTGGACTCAAGAGTCAACAATAAATCAAACAAGTTTTTGCCAGGAACATAGATCCTCAGGCCTTTGCAGTGGATGCTCTGGTGATTCCATGGGATCAGTTCAACCTGATCTATGCTTTTCCCCCCATGAAGCTTCTCCTTCATCTGGAAAAGCCTACTTGGACTTGGAAAGCCTACCTCTCCTGGTGTAAAGCTAGTGACTTCCATCCCCAAAAGTTCTTCAAGTTCACGTTATTTGCTATGTCTCCTAATGGTTTAAGCAATAAAGAAGCTTGTGTCTTGTAATATACGATTAGGAAAATAGTTTTTTTGTCTTACCTGTAAAATCAGGCTCCCTACCCTCTGTTTCTTTGGTCTACTCCAATTATTGTTTGCTAACAAAACTGAGACTTGCTGGGAGTGGGAGGGTTCATATAGGGCTGTGCTTACAGCTTTGTTTGGCCAATGTACAATCACCTGAATGCAGCTGCATTACTCAATGGTCTGAGAATTAAAGGAAACAAAAGGGAACAGAGCGCCACCTCCGTGTGTAAAATCGTTTATTACAATAAATAAAACAAGGGATAAAAGTACTCACAAACAAACGTTTTCATCAGGCTTTAACAACAAACGAGAGGCCACACTGTCTGTTAACCCAACACGGTATCCCCCTGATTATGTAACATGGTAGTATCCGGTCAAATCACCGTCCACCGACCGCAGTCAGCCATCACCGTCCACCGACCGCAGTCAGCCATCAGTCAGACGGTGATGTGACCGGAGACTACCGTGTTACATAGTCGGGGGGATACCATGTTGGGTTAACAGACAGTGTGGCCTCTCGTTTGTTGTTAAAGCCTGATGAAAACGTTTGTTTGTGAGTACTTTTATCCCTTGTTTTATTTATTGTAATAAACGATTTTACACACGGAGGTGGCGCTCTGTTCCCTTTTGTTTTCTATGTTCGTGGTGGAAGCCCCAGAGCCTTGGATGAGCAGCCCCTGAAATCTGTGTAAAAACTGTGATAAACTGTTGAAAACTGTGAGTGTGCAACAGCAAGTGGATTGTTCAGCTGGCAGCCATTAGCGCCAGGAGCTAAAGAAAACTTTTTGTCTGATAAGAATTAAAGGAGGCTTTTTTTTTAAAACTTTTTTATCACTTTTTAATTTTTTTTATTTTTATTTATTTTTTTACTTTTTTACATTTTTATTTATCTTATCTTTTACTCTTTTTTATTTTTTAATAAAGTTTTATTTATTTTTTATGATTTTTTCTTATTATTTTTTACTTTTTAATCACCTTTTTTTTCATTTCATTATTTTTTTAATCAATTTTTTTACTGAACTTTATTGCTATCACACAGGAGCTAACAAGCCCCTGTGTGATAGCATTTGGAGGTGACAGGTTCTCTTTATTAAACCTGTCTCTTCCAATACCGGAGTTCTAGCACAGGACTGTGCTGGAACTCCTGTGACAGCTGAGAGGGGAAGGCAGCTCTCCCCTCTCACTGTTTACACAGAGCAGAGAAGAGATGGACGTTCTTTTCTCTGCTCCATGCTCTCCATCCTGAGCATCTCTGGCTGGTAAGGAGAGATACTCGTTGGCGGGGGGAGGACGGAGCCAGCGAGGAGAGAGGTAGGTGCGTGCGGGGGCCTGCAGGCAGCATACAAGTGACATCGATGAGATCACTTTTAAATAAACAAGTGGCTTACCGACTCCACTGTTTGCCCAAAGCAGGGCTAAATATAGAAAACAACTTACTGCCCAGCGCCCGGAACTGCATGCCCCAGGCATCAGGAGATTCCAAACCCCTGCCACCCCGAGGCCGGGCCTCTGTGGTTTTGTGGCAAATCCGGCCCTGGACATATGATCAGCATTACAGCCAATGAACTAGTATTTTCAAAAGGTGTGGTCAACAATAGCTGCCTACATACACCATCAGATGAAGATTTCTTTAATAGCAACAACAAAAGATAATAGGTGTAGCAGAGTATGCTCTATAAATGTAAATGTATAATTGCCAACAAACTTTAGAATGATGAAAATTCATTGTATTAGTACACATACCATACAAAGGCCATACATTGCATAATCTATATGGGATAAATGTTATCAGTGAAAATGCAGTTTCTTCCAAAATGTCAGCAAAAAACCTCAGCTGAACTCTGAGCTGAAATAAACATGTATAAAGTCCTTTGCCCGTGTTTTGGTAATGAACATAGTTTACCTCTGTAACTGATTTATTGAAGCCTACTATATAACCACATCAATCTGTTTTATATTACCTTTATAGCTTTCACTCTGCAAAAACACATGTAGTTATTATTATTACAGGTGTAAAAGCAGGTTCTACCATGCAAACACACATCCATGAGGCTAGACGTGACCTAAACTGCGCCATCAATCAGAGGCGGCTCTTTAAAGGAGAACTATGAGATGAGTGATTTCCACTCA